GGTGACGCAACGCCAGGACGCATCCGGAGCCGCCACCACCAAGGGCGGCCGCTGCTCTGCCCCAGGGCAGCAGATTCATCTAGAACAGCGCAGAGCTCGCAGACTCGCTGGGAAAGGGCCGCGGCTGCTCGCTGCATTAATGACCTCGCTCAGAAGAAAGCGGGAGTCAGGCTTAATAGCGAAGAAAGCAGCAGAGAGCTGCAGAGCAGCAGAAATAAATCAGAGTGGAAATAAAGCAGCAGCTAGCATGGATGCCATTTGAGTGGCGCATTTCTCAGAGCAGTGGCAGAGCCAGTGAACAGTGAAGGAAGAAGGGAAAGGGGCTGGGGGAGGAAGGCTCAGCGCAGCCCCGCTCGGAAATGCCCATAAGCAGGAAACCAAGCAAAACCGAACTTGGCAGCGAGGCTTGGCACATTGCACCCCCTTTGAGCCGCCCCAGGGAGCGAGGAGACCAGAGCATCCTGGGGACTGGCCCCTCTCCCGGCCTTCACTAGGGTAGTATTGCTTAGAAAAAGTAAAATGAATTGCATCACGTGTAGTACCAAAGTAATGTGACTTAAAGTCTTTACTTATATTGTTAATCAGCAAACTTTGGTTATCAAATATCCTAAATGCATAATTTAAATTTCTTTCAATCTGTATAAAGTCAAGTTAAATTTTTTCAGTTTGGATGATACAATTTGACTATGAGTTTATTAGGTTGACAGAAATGAATGTGCTTAACCAAGGACTTTAGACCCTCATTCAAATGCCAAGAATATTCTAGGAGCTCAACCCGTTTAACTTAATAAGGAAAAGACCAAGAACTAACTTGAACACATCCCATAAGCGCCTGCTCAGGGAACAAAAACTTGAAAACAGATTACAGCCTAAAAGCAGAGGTGTGATAACCCTGAAAATTTCAGCTGGACTAGTTCAGGTGGGAATAAGGGTCCACACTTTTAATATTGGGGGTACAACCCCCACTAGGACACCTGAGGTATTTTTCTAGTTTATACCTCCTCTGTTGCAAGTAAACATGTCATATAATTTCTGACATAAATTTACCAAACTAATTAATCATTAAGTACAAAGATCATCCATGTAATTTTTATAGCTGCAGGCAAATGACTGGGTGGCTGACAAGGACTTGGCCTGAGACATAGCTAACTGAATAGGGGGTGGAAAATGACCAGGCAAGACATGAGGCTTTGCTGGACTTAACAGATCACGACGTGAGGAGCTGACAGAAGTTACACAAAGTGCTGTGAGGGAGGGATGAATCTCACACAAGGTTAAGGGGGAGTTATATGTGAAGCAGCCAAACCACCCAAAGAACTGGAGGGGTCCCTAGGGACTTGCTGGGGAGCAGAGACCAGCAGAAACATGTCCGTGATGGCAAATATGGCTAAGATAATCACAGAATCCCAGAATCGTTTATGTTGGGAGGGACCTCTGGAGATCATCTAGTCCAACCTCCCTGCTCAAGCAGGGTCACCTAGAGCATATTGCCCAGGATCACATCCAGGCGGGTTTTGAATATCTCCAGCGAAGGAGACTCCACTACCCCTCTGGGCAACCTCTTCCAATGCTCTGTCACCCTCACAGTCCAGAGGTTTTTTCTCAGGTTCAGACGGAACTTCCTGTGGTTCAGTTTCTGCCCAAATGCCAGGCTGCACCGTGGCTGCGCACTGGCAAGTGCAGTCTGTGCCCTGCTTCCAACTAGCTAGCGCTATCCGTAAGAGGGGAGCTGTCAGCACGGAGCCAAACCACTATTTTACAGTCCAGTTTTGTTTTAAATGCATTGTATAAAGTACACATTATGTAATGGCTCTATACACAGGCACACATCCATCCAGCTCACCATGCTTAAAATCCACCATCAAGGGCTCTGGGGAAAGCGCAGAAATTTAGTAAACACATGTGTAAATGGGGACTCCATCCCGGCCAACAGCAGGGACAAGCTCAGCCCCGCGGCACAGCACAACGGCGACCGCTGGCGCAGAGTCGGGGCCGCTGGAGGGCCCCGCGCAGGCGGCCAAGGG